GAGTCCATTCTAGCCGATTGCTGGAAGGTTGTCCAAGCTTCCATGCAGAGCAAAGCCAACGCAGGAAACCATTCCACGCATCTGCACCGTTGCTTTGGCAAGCTTTGTGTCAGGGCCATTTTGTACCTGACACGAAAGCAGAAATATTCCAGAGAGAAAACCAACTGGTCCAATTTGGAAGACATCTTGCAAGCTTTCACCCAGGAGGTCCAAGGGCTTCCTAGCCAGGACCAGGCTGCTGATGCTGCAACCAACTCCAGCTCCAACCAAGAAGTGGTGGCAGATCTTTCTGCAGCCAGCGCAGCCACAGTGGCCATGATGCAGAACTCGCACATGCAGCTCCATCAATTGCAGCCGGTCTTGCAGGCAAGCTTTTTATTTTCGCATCTTTTTATCGTCTTCTCATGATTTTACTCCAAGGTGTGTTTATAGGGTTTAGGATATAGGGTCTAGGGTTTATACATGTAAGGTTTGCTAGGAAGATATTCCCATCATGCTTCCGTTTATACTTCAGGTACACCATGCCCAAAGAGCATGGCCAGAAGGTTTTCGAATTCCAAAAAATCGAGGATGCAGGAGCCATTATGGTGCATCGCCCAGTTTTGGCGCCAGAGGAAGAGGTCCACGTTCCACTGGCGGACTTGAAGAAATGGCGGGTGACCAAAACAGGCATGCCGCAGCTTGCCAGTTTGGAAATGATCCAGCGTGGCCTGCCCCAAGGTAATGCCATCTGCCAAGAGGATTTGCAGAGGGTCCAGATCGCCGCTGCCCTCCACGCTGCCCATGAGCAGCATGCATTGGATCCAGAGGACATTGCTTTCTCATGCCAGCCCCAAGGCCTGTACACCTTGAAGGCTGTCAAAAAGGCCGCATTGCATTTGGTTCCACTGGGATCCATTGCCAAGCTGAAAGGCCCAGGCGAGACCAGCAAGAAGCTGACCATCGACCACTTCGGCCACAAGTGGACCATCAATGCATTCAAGCAAGATTCCATGCTCCAAGGGACAGCAGATGCTGGGTGCCTGACACCCTTCTTCTGGTGCAAAGCAGCCACGGCACCAGACAGTGA